GAATTTGAACACAATTTTGTAGTTGAATGCAAATATAAGTGTTGAATATGAATAACGAAGGTTGAATTTGAACACAATTTTATTGTTGAATGTAATTATATTTTGTTGAATATAAATATACATGCTGTTGAATTTTGCAACATTTGGCCAACCATAGTTAACTTGTGTGTAACTTGTTTTACAAGCTATGTCAATTAAACGTTGCAATCCATTTTCAAAGTACAGTATACGGTTTATACAAATTTTCCAGTGAAAATCGATAGTGAAAGTTTTTAAATTATGGCTTTATGATGTTTATCCTGTTAACTTGAAAATTAATTGCTTTTTCAGTTCTTTAAGATGTGCATTGCTCTTTTCGTGAGTATGCAGTTGGCAGCATTATTCAAGAAGAACGGAGGCCATTCAGCATACGCACAGCCTGTCAGCGTTCTCAAAGTAAGCCCCAACGCTTCACTACTGACGACCTCGATCACTGCACAAGTAAAACTGTTCAGCAGGACTCGAATGTTTCTCCAGATCAACCAGAATGGACAGGTTGGAGGCACAGTAGACTGCAACGACCAGTACAGTAAGTTGACAACTATAAATACTACCTACAATTGTGAAGTTTAGAGCCATTTTTTGTTTTTGTTTTTCGCTGGAACATACACCTATTTCAATATACGTTGTCATCGCCAAAGGTGATAGAAGATAGGCCTTAGGTAGACTGCGAGCTAAGTCCCTCTATTTCCCTTGGTCAATGTCCGTCTGTTTGTCCTTGTCGATTGGTCGAGGAAGATTGCCAATCGACACGGACAGACAGACGAAAAGTGACCAAGGGAAATAGAGGGACTTAGCTCGCAGTCTAGGCTTTGAAAACTTTCATGAATGGATTGAAACGAACGTTGCAAATTTTGAAATCTGGGCTCGGATTGTTTAGTTCTTCACAGGTTTTTTGCAAAACCAAAAGTGTATTTCTTCAGTTGTAGCTACCTTTTTAACCTGATCTGTGAGGTTGGATGTTTTGCTCAAAAACTCCCTTCATAAATGAACATTTTGAGGTACGCCGCACTGTAAGACCGGGATAATTGACATTTACGACGGACATTCGTTACAAGTTTTAAAGCAATTTTGGATGAAAATCAAATTTCCAATAATAAACTGAATCTTTGAACTCCCGATAGGAACGTAAAAAAATCAGCATGTTATCATGAGTTGAGCGTTGTGTGCATAGAACATTTAATGTAGTGGTGGTATATATGAGTGAAAGGTGTCCCCAATTAGTGCGAAGCGCTAAAACGACTAGACACTTCAATAAATATGTTTATTTTATATCAACGTATGAGTGAGTTTGACTGTATAAGCACTTGAACATTTAACACTTAAAGATTTCCGGAGTGTAAAGAAGCTTGGTATTGTTTTTGTTTCGTACGTGACGTCATATTATGACATCATCATGATTTTATATTTCATAAACAGGCTCTTTTGGGACTGATTAACAAAATACCAAAATTTGGGGAAATTTAAAGAATGCGTATTGGAGATATAACGCCCTGAACGTTGGGAGAGATAATATTTTGATCAGCACAAAAACTAACATTTTCGCTAATACCTCGAAGTAGAATTGCTCGAGGTTAGCAGAATTTTATGAAACGTTTAAAGCACAAGAGGCACGACTGAAACGCTAAACGTTTTTAGCATGAATGAGAGATGAAGAAAAAAATTGTGAAAGTAGCAGGCTTGTCGTTTTTCTGCTCTGTCGAACGTCGATAAAAATATTAAATCTATCACTTATTATCCACTAATTTTTTGATCTAATCTGTCATTAGGTTTTAGATACATTATATATCGTTACGTTCAATTGCTGGTTTTCAATCATTCCCAAGAGAATGAAATAACAAAAGACACGGCGACCATGTTGGATGATATAACAAAAGAGACTAATGACGAATCTTTTGTTAAATTCATCCAACATGGCGGCTGTGACAACCATCAATAGGCAATGGTTTTGGGTTTAACGGTTTTATCGTCCGTCATTTAATTTTCAGTTCGGCTGGAAGTCAGTTCAGTTGGTTCTAGCTTGGTAAGGATAAAGGGTATCAAATCTGGACGATATCTGTCCATGAACAGCAAAGGATATTTGTACTCAACGGTAAGAGACGATAAGGCCCCGTCCACACTATGCCGGATAAATTTGAATCCGAATTTTCAAACCGAAACCGAAAAAAAAGTTTTCCGTCCACACTAATACGGCTAGCCGGAGTTTTCAAATTGTTCCACTCTGGAGACCGTATTCGAAAAAATTCGTTTTCGGTTAATCGCCCGGACTAGTGTGGACGGTAGGCCTAACCGAATAAATAAAAATTCGAATTCAAATTTATCCGGCATAGTGTGGACGGGGCCTAACCCTGAATTTAGATTTAGATTTATATATTGATTATTTCCAGGAGAATGGCATGTTGTAGTTGATGACCGCAATATTGGTTCGTGAAATAAATATCTTTTGTTAAGTTGAAGGAAATACGACATGGCGGCCATATGTCTCGAAGAGAGAAGATGTATGAAATGTTTTGAAAAAATTTATAAAGTGTTGTTTTTTTAAATCTATGAAATGTCCCAGTCTAAAAATGTATAAAATCAGTGTTTTTGAAAGGTTTTGTAATGTGGCTAATATTCAGCAGACACCATTTAGTGGGCACAAGGCAAAGTTTAGAAGTCTTCGCTTCATAAAGTTACCCACGGGGCGGGTCCAGGATTTTTTCTAGGGGGGTGCACCATCCAGGATTTTCGTTTTAGGATTGGGTGCACCATCCAGGATGTTTTCCAGGGTGGTGGGGTACACCATCCAGGATATTTTCCAGGGTGGTGGGGTGCACCATCCAGGATGTTTTCCAGGGGGGGTGGGGTGCACCATCCAGGATTTTCGTTTTAGGATTGGGTGCACCATCCAGGATATTTTCCAGGAGGGTGGGGTTCAACATTCAGGATTTTCGTTCTTGGATGGGGTGCACCCTTTGCTTATAAACTCAAACACCAATAATGCAGTATATATTAGTTCATCTAGGAGGGAGGAGGTGTGCGCTCCCCCTGCACCCCTCCCTTAGATCCGCCCCTGGTCCCACTGTATACCATTCACTGATGTTAACTCACCTTTTTTTCCTTCCAGACCGTCACAAACGATGAGTCAGTTTTCAAGAATGTCTTGCAAAGCTCTGGTTATCACACCTTTGCATCCAGCAAATACTACCAAACCGTCTTCCACGATACGTTTGTGGCCATCAGGAATAACGGTGCAACCAAGAATGGTACTCGAACCAATAAGTACCAGAAATCTGTGCAGTACTTGACGATAAACAACACCAAATGCTGATCGTCTCTTGCTTGCCAGTGTATCTCTGACTTCCTAGGGCTAAAATTAACATTTTGTTAATCAAGCGAGAGGTCTGTACGAGATCATCTTGAACAAGTTTGTTGAAGTACAGACCGAGCATAATAAAAAAAAGCAACAACCATCTTCCGTTCACCATAATTTATATGCACCCAAGCTAGACCACAATGCATCCTGTTTATTGAACTCAGAAAAGGTCTATGAAGCTGGTTTAATTATAACGATAGCGATAGCGATAACGACTACGAAAATGATAGCGATAAAAATATCAAAAATATTAAAATGAATTAATTAAGATTGCATATTCCTTCTTGGAATATACAACCATTTCATTCCTTGAGAATATCAAAGCAAGTTGTAAAACAATGGAAAATCGAAGCATGCAGAAAGGTTTCTTGCCTGGAAATGCAGGCTGCAAAAGCATCATATCAATATGGAATGATTTAGGCCACGTCCACACGTATCCGGAAATTTCTGTATCCGCAAATCTTTTTTGCGGATGCGAAAATGTTCGCGTCCACACGCAGCGTATTCGAATAGTTTTCGAATCGTTTTCACTGTCCAAACGTATCCGGAAATTTCTTGATCCGGTGATGCACGCTAGTGCCTACTCCCTCAACTGAGAGTGCGCATTATGGTTTACCGCTGAATTTATCCTTCCGAAAATCGCAGTTTTTATCTCAAACACCTTGATCATATGCCGTAGTTTATCAA